GTTTTATTTATTTAAGATCATTTGCACAAATTGCTTTGTCAGTTTGAGCAATTTCTGCGAAGTCCTGACAGATTTGCAGTCGAAAATGTTTAATAGTAGCTACTTTTGCACTAGGTTGCTTCATAAATTCACTGTATCTTTGAAATAATGTTATATAAATTTTTTGTCACGTTTTATTGATTTAAGATAATTTGCACAAATTGCTTTGTCAGTTTGAGCAATTTCTGTGAAGTCCTGACAGATTTGCAGTCGAAAATGTTAAATAGTAGCTACTTTTGCACTAGGTTGCTTCATAAATTCACTGTATCTTTGAAATAATGTTATATAAACTTTTTGTCACGTTTTATTGATTTAAGATCATTTGCACAAATTGCTTTGTCAGTTTGAGCAATTTCTGCGAAGTCCTGACAGATTTGCAGTCGAAAATGTTTAATAGTAGCTACTTTTGCACTAGGTTGCTTCATAAATTCACTGTATCTTTGAAATAATGTTATATAAATTTTTTGTCATGTTTTATTGATTTAAGATCATTTGCACAAATTGCTTTGTCAGTTTGAGCAATTTCTGTGAAGTCCTGGCAGATATGCAGTCGAAAATGTTAAATAGTAGCTACTTTTGCACTAGGTTGCTTCATAAATTCACTGTATCTTTGAAATAATGTTATATAAATTTTTTGTCACGTTTTATTGATTTAAGATCATTTGCACAAATTGCTTTGTCAGTTTGAGCAATTTCTGTGAAGTTCTGGCAGATTTGCAGTCGAAAATGTTAAAAAGAAGCTCCATTTGCACTAGGTTGCTTCATAAATTCACTGTATCTTTGAAATAATGTTATATAAATTTTTTGTCACGTTTTATTGATTTAAGATCATTTGCACAAATTGCTTTGTCAGTTTGAGCAATTTCTGTGAAGTTCTGGCAGATTTTCAGTCGAAAATGTTAAAAAGAAGCTACTTTTGCACTAGGTTGCTTCATAAATTCACTGTATCTTTGAAATAATGTTATATAAATTTTTTGTCACGTTTTATTGATTTAAGATCATTTGCACAAATTGCTTTGTCAGTTTGAGCAATTTCTGTGAAGTTCTGGCAGATTTTCAGTCGAAAATGTTAAAAAGAAGCTACTTTTGCACTAGGTTGCTTCATAAATTCACTGTATCTTTGAAATAATGTTATATAAATATTTTGTCACGTTTTATTGATTTAAGATAATTTGCACAAATTGCTTTGTCAGTTTGAGCAATTTCTGTGAAGTCCTGACAGATTTGCAGTCGAAAATGTTAAATAGTAGCTACTTTTGCACTAGGTTGCTTCATAAATTCACTGTATCTTTGAAATAATGTTATATAAATTTTTTGTCACGTTTTATTGATTTAAGATAATTTGCACAAATTGCTTTGTCAGTTTGAGCAATTTCTGTGAAGTCCTGACAGATTTGCAGTCGAAAATGTTAAATAGTAGCTACTTTTGCACTAGGTTGTTTCATAAATTCACTGTATCTTTGAAATAATGTTATATAAATTTTTTGTCATGTTTTATTGATTTAAGATCATTTGCACAAATTGCTTTGTCAGTTTGAGCAATTTCTGCGAAGTCCTGACAGATTTGCAGTCGAAAATGTTTAATAGTAGCTACTTTTGCACTAGGTTGCTTCATAAATTCACTGTATCTTTGAAATAATGTTATATAAATTTTTTGTCATGTTTTATTGATTTAAGATCATTTGCACAAATTGCTTTGTCAGTTTGAGCAATTTCTGTGAAGTCCTGACAGATTTGCAGTCGAAAATGTTAAATAGTAGCTACTTTTGCACTAGGTTGCTTCATAAATTCACTGTATCTTTGAAATAATGTTATATAAATTTTTTGTCATGTTTTATTGATTTAAGATAATTTGCACAAATTGCTTTGTCAGTTTGAGCAATTTCTGTGAAGTCCTGGCAGATATGCAGTCGAAAATGTTAAATAGTAGCTACTTTTGCACTAGGTTGCTTCATAAATTCACTGTATCTTTGAAATAATGTTATATAAATTTTTTGTCATGTTTTATTGATTTAAGATAATTTGCACAAATTGCTTTGTCAGTTTGAGCAATTTCTGTGAAGTCCTGGCAGATATGCAGTCGAAAATGTTAAATAGTAGCTACTTTTGCACTAGGTTGCTTCATAAATTCACTGTATCTTTGAAATAATGTTATATAAATTTTTTGTCATGTTTTATTGATTTAAGATCATTTGCACAAATTGCTTTGTCAGTTTGAGCAATTTCTGTGAAGTCCTGGCAGATTTGCAGTCGAAAATGTTAAAAAGAAGCTCCATTTGCACTAGGTTGCTTCATAAATTCACTGTATCTTTGAAATAATGTTATATAAATTTTTTGTCACGTTTTATTGATTTAAGATAATTTGCACAAATTGCTTTGTCAGTTTGAGCAATTTCTGCGAAGTCCTGACAGATTTGCAGTCGAAAATGTTTAATAGTAGCTACTTTTGCACTAGGTTGCTTCATAAATTCACTGTATCTTTGAAATAATGTTATATAAATTTTTTGTCACGTTTTATTGATTTAAGATCATTTGCACAAATTGCTTTGTCAGTTTGAGCAATTTCTGTGAAGTTCTGGCAGATTTGCAGTCGAAAATGTTAAAAAGAAGCTCCATTTGCACTAGGTTGCTTCATAAATTCACTGTATCTTTGAAATAATGTTATATAAATTTTTTGTCACGTTTTATTTATTTAAGATCATTTGCACAAATTGCTTTGTCAGTTTGAGCAATTTCTGCGAAGTCCTGACAGATTTGCAGTCGAAAATGTTTAATAGTAGCTACTTTTGCACTAGGTTGCTTCATAAATTCACTGTATCTTTGAAATAATGTTATATAAATTTTTTGTCACGTTTTATTGATTTAAGATAATTTGCACAAATTGCTTTGTCAGTTTGAGCAATTTCTGTGAAGTCCTGACAGATTTGCAGTCGAAAATGTTAAATAATAGCTACTTTTGCACTAGGTTGCTTCATAAATTCACTGTATCTTTGAAATAATGTTATATAAACTTTTTGTCACGTTTTATTGATTTAAGATCATTTGCACAAATTGCTTTGTCAGTTTGAGCAATTTCTGCGAAGTCCTGACAGATTTGCAGTCGAAAATGTTTAATAGTAGCTACTTTTGCACTAGGTTGCTTCATAAATTCACTGTATCTTTGAAATAATGTTATATAAATTTTTTGTCATGTTTTATTGATTTAAGATCATTTGCACAAATTGCTTTGTCAGTTTGAGCAATTTCTGTGAAGTCCTGGCAGATATGCAGTCGAAAATGTTAAATAGTAGCTACTTTTGCACTAGGTTGCTTCATAAATTCACTGTATCTTTGAAATAATGTTATATAAATTTTTTGTCACGTTTTATTGATTTAAGATCATTTGCACAAATTGCTTTATCAGTTTGAGCAATTTCTGTGAAGTTCTGGCAGATTTGCAGTCGAAAATGTTAAAAAGAAGCTCCATTTGCACTAGGTTGCTTCATAAATTCACTGTATCTTTGAAATAATGTTATATAAATTTTTTGTCACGTTTTATTTATTTAAGATCATTTGCACAAATTGCTTTGTCAGTTTGAGCAATTTCTGTGAAGTCCTGGCAGATTTGCAGTCGAAAATGTTAAATAGTAGCTACTTTTGCACTAGGTTGCTTCATTAATTCACTGTATCTTTGAAATAATGTTATATAAATTTTTTGTCATGTTTTATTGATTTAAGATCATTTGCACAAATTGCTTTGTCAGTTTGAGCAATTTCTGTGAAGTCCTGGCAGATATGCAGTCGAAAATGTTAAATAGTAGCTACTTTTGCACTAGGTTGCTTCATAAATTCACTGTATCTTTGAAATAATGTTATATAAATTTTTTGTCACGTTTTATTGATTTAAGATCATTTGCACAAATTGCTTTGTCAGTTTGAGCAATTTCTGTGAAGTTCTGGCAGATTTTCAGTCGAAAATGTTAAAAAGAAGCTACTTTTGCACTAGGTTGCTTCATAAATTCACTGTATCTTTGAAATAATGTTATATAAATATTTTGTCACGTTTTATTGATTTAAGATAATTTGCACAAATTGCTTTGTCAGTTTGAGCAATTTCTGTGAAGTCCTGACAGATTTGCAGTCGAAAATGTTAAATAGTAGCTACTTTTGCACTAGGTTGCTTCATAAATTCACAGTATCTTTGAAATAATGTTATATAAATTTTTTGTCACGTTTTATTGATTTAAGATAATTTGCACAAATTGCTTTGTCAGTTTGAGCAATTTCTGTGAAGTCCTGACAGATTTGCAGTCGAAAATGTTAAATAGTAGCTACTTTTGCACTAGGTTGTTTCATAAATTCACTGTATCTTTGAAATAATGTTATATAAATTTTTTGTCATGTTTTATTGATTTAAGATCATTTGCACAAATTGCTTTGTCAGTTTGAGCAATTTCTGCGAAGTCCTGACAGATTTGCAGTCGAAAATGTTTAATAGTAGCTACTTTTGCACTAGGTTGCTTCATAAATTCACTGTATCTTTGAAATAATGTTATATAAATTTTTTGTCATGTTTTATTGATTTAAGATCATTTGCACAAATTGCTTTGTCAGTTTGAGCAATTTCTGTGAAGTCCTGGCAGATATGCAGTCGAAAATGTTAAATAGTAGCTACTTTTGCACTAGGTTGCTTCATAAATTCACTGTATCTTTGAAATAATGTTATATAAATTTTTTGTCACGTTTTATTGATTTAAGATCATTTGCACATTTTCGACTGCAAATCTGTCAGGACTTCACAGAAATTGCTCAAACTGACAAAGCAATTTGTGCAAATTATCTTAAATCAATAAAACATGACAAAAAATTTATATAACATTATTTCAAAGATACAGTGAATTTATGAAGCAACCTAGTGCAAATGGAGCTTCTTTTTAACATTTTCGACTGCAAATCTGCCAGAACTTCACAGAAATTGAGAAATTCTCCAATCTTGGAGTAGTAAAGTTTATAGTCTTAACAAAAATTTAAAATAAAAATGTTTAACTAAGTTTTTAAAGTAAAAGTAACATCTAAAGCAACAAGCACAAATAAATGATTATTAAAAAGGAATAAGGAACTGCTTTAACTCATTTTTATCCACAAAAAAGACAAATATAAACATCGAGCACACCTAAGGTTATTAACACATGAAGACCAGATCCAAATCACTTGAGAGATCTAATTCGATATCAAAAAAGGGTACTCATAAAAAAATGTCAGCACGCAAATTCTCTGATTTATCATTAGAACTAGATGATGAGAATGAACCAAAAAAGTCCAAACCTGATTCGGATGATGAAACTGATGACATGACAAAAATACTGAAAGAAATTCGAGCTGGCATGACTTCAATGAACAAAAAAATGGATATACTCTCCGAAAATCTAAGCAAAAGAATTGATGAGTTAACGAATGATGTTCATGAAATAAGAACTACTTTAAAATCCACAAAGGAACAAGTAACAGCTTGTGAAACTAAACAATTTGAAATCATTAACTCACTTGATACTCATGAAACAAGGCTCAACATCATTGATCAAAAAAGTCTGGAAACTCAATTAATGATATCAAATCTACCAAATGCAGTCAACAAGGAAAACTTTATAAATGAATTATCCAGTTGGTCTGGTAATATATTCGATCACTCGAAAATCCACAAATTAAATTTCAATCAACATAAAGAATCTCAAACAGCCTTCATACACTTCCAAAATATAAGCGAAAAGAACAAACTGATGAATTTTGTGAAACAGAAACAAACTGATGCGAATGATAAATATATACCAATACTAGGTGAACAAATCCTTAAACTCCAAGAAGATGATCCAGAAAGGATGAAAATTATATATTTCCAAACACCGCTAACACCTTTCAATCGTCAAATTCTCGATCAAGCAAAGAAGATGAAGAAAAAATGCAAAACAATTAAGAAATGTTGGATGATGAAAGGAAGCATACATATTAAGCTAATAAATCAGGAGAAAGCAATTCGTCTTGACTCCATAGAACAACTGGAAATGCTTAAATCATCAATTCCAATGGAAACGGATTAGTACGCCAGTAAGTCCTTAAAAAAAAAATTAATCGCAGATCTGCTACTTCCTAACATAAATGCACTTTAACTCAAAATCCTCATCATTCAAATAAACAAATTTGTTTCCAAAAAATAATATATAAATATACAAAATTTATCTTTATTCAAAATCATTCATTTTGAATAAAACACAATAATGAAACTCCTTTAGAACTAGCTTAGAACTCAGTAATCAGAATTATGTCCAACACAACACAAAATGCACTCGATTTCCAGCTTAAAAATTAAATTAAAAATGAGAAAGATTGACAAGTATGCCTTAGTACTAAAATTTTTAGAACACTATTAAGAAAACGACTAACGTACAAATTTTATTCAAATATGCATGAAGCAACGTTTTCTTGTGTTTCTAACACCACAATTATTATTTAACTAATGCAAATTAAACTGGCAATACTTATGAAAGCAAATAGAACCAGAAAATAATAAGAGAAGTTAACATCACAATATTTTCAGTGCAATAAAATTCATACTAAAGCACTTCTTATCGGACTTGTAACAGACAAATTTCATTTAAATTTGTATGAAGCGAGACCTCATAAGTGCTATACGAAATGAAAATACAAATATTTATTTTCGGTTACAAAAGCTAATATATTCAATTCAATATAAACTTAATTTGATAATCTCTATCTTACAATTAATTAACTAAATCTGTTTGCCAATGATGTTACTTCCCAAAAATTGAAAAATGGACTTAGACAACAATTATGAAATAGAACTAAATGTAATGCATTACAATAAACTACCCTTAAATGTTCCAAATAATACTTTCCTGAACTGTCTATATATTAATGCACAGTCACTTAGAAACTCCATTAATGACCTTCAAGCATTCATAAATGATTTAAATTTCAGGATTGACTTAGTTTTAGTCACTGAAACGTGGCTAAATGAATCAGATAAAAAATTCTATAATTTAATCAATTATCAAAGTTTTCACTCAGTACGTGATACTGGGAATGGAGGTGGTGCCTCAATATTTGTTCATAATGACTGTGACATAGGAAATATAGTTTTTGAGGAATCAATTAACAACAACAACATAATCTTAATATCACTTCTAAAAAGACATATTAATATAGGCCTTGCATATCGTCAACCAAATAATAAATTAGACACAAACGCTAAAATATTCTTGAATAAGTTAGAACTTTTATTAATTAATCACAACAACTGTTACTTTTTTGGTGACTTCAACATTAATCTCTTTGCAGACACGTCACAAGTAACAGAATATAAAGATAAAGTTTTTACAAATGGATTTAAATTTATAAACAGTTTTTCACGTGAATATCCAACACGCATTAATAGGCGTTTTGAATCAACAACATGCATTGATCACATTATTACAGACCTACATTTTCATAAAGATAATCTCCTTCATAATATGTACTTATTCGATGGCATAGGTGATCACAAAAATATAATTCTAAATATTAACACAGATCGAAATCAAGATACGCAAAAATCATGCACTAATTTCAGTCTTATAAACAATATAAAGATTCAAAACTTAAAGCTTTTAGAATGTATTAAAGCAACTAACTTTGAAAATTTCTTAAACGAAATTGCTTTGACGATTGATGCAAATACAATAAGTTTTAAACAAAATAATAAAGCAAAGAAGCCATATGTTAACATTCACATACTAAAACTAATACAAATAAGAAATCGACTGATGATACTGAAAGCAAAATTTCCACAATCTAGCTACATTTTAGAACGTTTTAATTTCTATAAAAAATTAGTGTTTAAAAAGGTGAAAGAATCAAAAAAGAAATTTTACGAAAAAGTCTTTAAAGAAAATATAACAAACTCAAGAATAACATGGAAACACATCAACAATCTTCTTTATAATAAAAATAACATAAAAACACCTGAGTGCAGTCTATTAAAGCACAATGGAATACCCATATCTGATCCTGAGGCAATTGCGAATCACTTAAATAACTATTTCATTAATGTTCCTAACATAATAACCAACAACTTAAATGTTAATACACATAATCTCAACCAACAGCATGAAGAAGAACAGTATGATATTAATTCAGAATTTACATGCCCAAAAGTGACAGAAGATGAAATAACACTCATCATCAACAATATGGCCTCATCCAATGCGCGTGATTTATATGGCATGTCCAATAATTTTGTAAAATTCCATCAAAAATCCATACTTACAAATCTTACCACACTTATTAACAAACACATGTTTCTAGGAACATTTCCTGACTGTCTTAAATTAGGAATTGTAACACCAATCCACAAAGGCGGAGACAAAACAAGCACCAACAACTTTCGTCCAATTACAATAAACCCGATATTAGGAAAGATATTTGAATATGTAATTCTTAGAAGATTAGAAGACCATGTTATCACTAACGATATAATTAATCCTAGTCAATTTGGATATGTAAAACAGTCTAACACAGAAATTGCAATTTCACACATTCTAGACCCAATATACTCACATTTAGACACTAGAAATGCAGTCTCACTAACATGCATAGACCTCAGCAAAGCATATGATTGTATTAATCATGAAATCCTAATAATGAAATTTAAGAAATTAAAATTAAGCAAATTCTTTTTAAATCTTTTGATTTCCTATTTAAAAAATAGGAAACAAGCCACAAAAGTAGCAAATAAACTAAGCATTTTCATGACAATAATTTTTGGTACTCCACAAGGTGGTGTTTTATCTGGTCTGTTCTTTAACATTTATGTTAATTCTATATTTCGCATTCAACTATCTGGTAAAATTTCGCTTTACTGTGACGATATGTCGATAGTAAATTTTGCACCAAACTCACAAATCTTGAAAGAAGAAATTGAAAATGACCTCAAACTAATTAGCAACTGGCTCGAAATTCACATTCTAGCACCAAACATCTCTAAAACCAAATACATACTTTTTCACAACAAAATGCGATTCGAAACTTTCACTGAGCAGGCTTTAAACATAAAATTCAAAGATATAACAATCGAGCGTGTGGAAGTAGTTCAAATACTAGGCATTAAAATTGATGAAACTCTATCCTTCAAATGGCACATTCAAGCAATACAAAGTAAAATAATTTCATTCACCTATGCCTTAAAAAGAATTAGTTATCTTTTATCTGATAAAACTTTGATAATGTTGTACTATGCACACGTTCAATGCCACTTAAACTATATGAACTTTATTTGGGCACCGATTACACAAAACTTAATGCAATCAATTGAAATAACACAACGAAAAGCTCTTAGAGTCATTTTAAAAAAAAGCTGGCATTGTAGTAGAAGTGAACTATATAGTGTTAAAATTCTACCAGTATCGGCACTTTGTAATGTGAGCACATGCTTACAAATTTTCAAGATCTCAAAACAATTACTTAAAAACAACATTCAAATCCACACAGCCAGTCAATTCCATCAACATACAACACGTCATCGTGAAAATTTCGTTGCTAGGAAATATAATTCCGTCTTAGGTAGTCACACATTTTATATACGAGGTCCTAATCTTTTCAACACAGTGCCACAAGACATTAAGAAATTTAACTCAATTAGCATTTTCAAAAACCGTATTAGGGAACATTTTTTCGAAATTTATTGTAATGCAAATAATATTAATAATTAAAAAACTTTACAAATTAAAATTATAAATATTCGTAGCACAATTGAAAAATGATTTATGAATCAATAAAACTAAGAATTTAAAAAAAAAAAAAAAAATGTTAAATAGTAGCTCCTTTTGCACTAGGTTGCTTCATAAATTCACTGTATCTTTGAAATAATGTTATATAAATTTTTTGTCACGTTTTACTGATTTAAGATAATTTGCACAAATTGCTTTGTCAGTTTGAGCAATTTCTGTGAAGTCCTGACAGATTTGCAGTCGAAAATGTTTAATAGAAGCTACTTTTGCACTAGGTTGCTTCATTAATTCACTGTATCTTTGAAATAATGTTATATAAATTTTTTGTCACGTTTTATTGATTTAAGATAATTTGCACAAATTGCTTTGTCAGTTTAAGCAATTTCTGTGAAGTCCTGACAGATTTGCAGTCGAAAATGTTAAAAAGAAGCTACTTTTGCACTAGGTTGCTTCATAAATTCACTGTATCTTTGAAATAATGTTATATAAATTTTTTGTCACGTTTTATTGATTTAAGATCATTTGCACAAATTGCTTTGTCAGTTTGAGCAATTTCTGTGAAGTCCTGGCAGATATGCAGTCGAAAATGTTAAATAATAGCTACTTTTGCACTAGGTTGCTTCATAAATTCACTGTATCTTTGAAATAATGTTATATAAATTTTTTGTCACGTTTTATTGATTTAAGATAATTTGCACAAATTGCTTTGTCAGTTTGAGCAATTTCTGTGAAGTCCTGGCAGATTCGCAGTCGAAAATAATAAAAAGAAGCTACTTTTGCACTAGGTTGCTTCATAAATTCACTGTATCTTTGAAATAATGTTATATAAATTTTTTGTCATGTTTTATTGATTTAAGATAATTTGCACAAATTGCTTTGTCAGTTTGAGCAATTTCTGTGAAGTCCTGACAGATTTGCAGTCGAAAATGTTAAATAGTAGCTACTTTTGCACTAGGTTGCTTCATAAATTCACTGTATCTTTGAAATAATGTTATATAAATTTTTTGTCACGCTTTATTGATTTAAGATAATTTGCACAAATTGCTTTGTCAGTTTGAGCAATTTCTGTGAAGTTCTGGCAGATTTGCAGTCGAAAATGTTAAATAGTAGCTACTTTTGCACTAGGTTGCTTCATAAATTCACTGTATCTTTGAAATAATGTTATATAAATTTTTTGTCATGTTTTATTGATTTAAGATCATTTGCACGAATTGCTTTGTCAGTTTGAGCAATTTCTGTGAAGTTCTGGCAGATTTGCAGTCGAAAATGTTAAATAGTAGCTACTTTTGCACTAGGTTGCTTCATAAATTCACTGTATCTTTGAAATAATGTTATATAAATTTTTTGTCATGTTTTATTGATTTAAGATCATTTGCACAAATTGCTTTGTCAGTTTGAGCAATTTCTGTGAAGTCCTGGCAGATATGCAGTCGAAAATGTTAAATAGTAGCTACTTTTGCACTAGGTTGCTTCATAAATTCACTGTATCTTTGAAATAATGTTATATAAATTTTTTGTCACGTTTTATTGATTTAAGATAATTTGCACAAATTGCTTTGTCAGTTTGAGCAATTTCTGTGAAGTTCTGGCAGATTTGCAGTCG